GGCTTGATACACAGGGTGTCAAGAGGGCTGTTGTTGTGACCTGGTGGGGCAGGTCTCACTGCCTCTTGCTCTCACACTGTGATTTCACAGGTTATAAATGAGGAAGAGAGTGGAAGAAAGAAGATAAATACTTGGAATGAAAAGTGAAGGTAACATCTAGCAGGTCACTTAGGGGGAACTGGCTTGAAGCTGACACCCCCCCCCATTTTTTCACACAGTACTAACATGAGATCGCCTTGGTCTGTACAAGCTATCAATATCCCTCCTACAACTGCTTTTTTGGTAAGGCAAACAGGTACAGCCACCCAGGGGATGTGATCACAAAGGCTTCCGAGCTGCCACCCTTCTTTAGATGGCAAATGTCCCATATCCCCACCACCCTGGCCCCTTCCTGCCTCCTACCCTGCACGCTCCCTGCTTCCCCCCTCAAGCTATTCATAGCATTTTTTGGAATAGAACTCCACTGTTTAGCTGCAGGAAGGACGGGTGTTGGTTTTGGCTGGGCAGGAGTGAGCCCCTGGGGCGAAGGTAGCAGAGAGAGTCCAAGGCTGGGGCAAGCACAGAGGAGGCAGTAGGGCTGCAGGTATGACCAATGCACCCCCCTAAGCTCTAGGACAACATCAGTGGGGTCTGCAAGGCTCAAACCTGTGGAGCCACCGTGGTGCACAGCCTCTTGCCCACTGTGGCTCATCGTCCTCTGTGGTTCCATGCCCCACCTCTGCCCTCCTGCTAAGGGAGCAGGACACAGTCCTGCTGCAGCCCACACACACGCTGGGGTCACCCTCCTCCTGTGTACCCACCAGCAAGTGCCACCACTGCAACACCCCAGCTCAGTCCCCATGCTGTGCCTGGGGCACTGCCACATGCCAGGCATCTCCCCCCCACTGCCTCCCACACACCTGGGGGGTTCACACACCCGGGGCTGGGCGTACCTGGTTTTCAAGTAGTGAAGAAAGAGAAGAAAGCGTCCCCTGCCCTGTGTAGCAGCTGCCAGGCTCCTGCACCGGTGTTTGCTCTCCTTGCAGAAGCAAGAACTGAATGGGCCCCGTTGTGTTGCTTTCCCAGCAGCGCTCACTGGACGGAGCCAGAAACGTGGGAGGAGGGAAAGGAGGAGAGGGGGAGGAAGGGTAAGCCACCTCTGGAGAGAGGGCAGCAACCCAGACATTGCCTCCCCCTCAATTCACAGGGGGCTGGGAGCACCAGCCCAGCGAAGCCCAAGTGGGATTTGCACTCACTGTTTCCTGAGCTCTGCCTTTCCTTTCCTGGCTGTTAGTCACAGGAGTTATGGAGGTACAGGGCAGAAAGGTGACATCCAGCCAAAACTGCAATGGCAGCGGTAAGCTCAAGCAAAAGGGAACAGGCAGCTGACCAGGCTGGAGGGTTGTCAGAGAGGCCATGTTTAAAGCCCTCTGCTCTCCTCATTTTGCTTCTTTGCTTCTTTTGCAGATGCCAGGGGTGGCAGTGCCTGTGTGACACATCATTTTCTTGCAGAAGGGCATAGAGGCCATCGTTTTCCTCCTGGATTGTTGTTTCACTCTCTCAGGAAACGCAAGCAGATCTGCAGTCTGACAAAAATCTGGAAGATTTGATACTAATGTCTCTTTCCCCTTCAAGCCCTTCCCCTATTCAGCAATCTCAGCTGCCAGAATCAGTGTCCAATCCTGGTGCCACCTGTGGGTGATGGACATGCTGGCCAGGGTCTGCGAAAGCCTCCCTGTCACTGCATTGGGCTGCATCCTCTCTGTCCATGCAGTCTCCCAGAGGTGTTTAGTGCTCCTGGGACACAGGGTGACTTGATGTCATGAGCAGCTTGGAGGCACCAGCTCTCGTGCTCAGCTCCGCTCTGCTGTGCAGGGAGGGCCATTGGGAATGCAGGTCTCAAGGAGATGAATCTGCCACAGTCACCCTGGCACAAGTCACCCTGGGAAGCTCACAGCCTGTGCTGAATTACCATGACCCATTCTGGGGTCATGGTTAGCCTCAGGGAGGGCCAGGTGAAGGCGATGGTGCCTGTTTAATGTCACAGCCATAGTCCGGCCAGTGCTGGTGCCATTTGATGGTCTTCACCCTGTACCTGCTGGGTGCTGCCAGCACAGCTGGGCCCTCATGCCTCCTTGAGCTGCTCCCACATTCTAGCAGTGCTGCATCCAGTGTCCCAACTGCAGCCCAGCCGCACTGCCACTGGTCATGCTACCACCCAAATATCCTTGCAGCACCACCTCTTCCCCACACTGAACACTGGCTTCTTCCCAGACCTGCCAGCCATCACTGTCCTCTACCTAAGGGACAACAGGCTGGAATGGCTCCAGGCAGGCAGTTTCATGGGTCTGAGGAACCTCAACCACTTCCACCTGAACTCCAACCTCTCTGCCCCGCTGCTGGCACAGCACTTGGCACTCAGCATCTCGGCAGCAACCCCTTCCACCAGCCAAGGTGGAACCAACACTGCAGCCACCCCCACCCCAGCTCTGGTCACTGTCCAGCCCACTCTGCTCCTCCCTGCCTGGCCCCTCCCTCACCTCCCCTGGCCAGCAGCCCCCACCCTGCCTGGCCAACAACCTGGACAGCTACACCTCCCTGGCAGTGGCCTGGGCTCTGCTGGAGAACCATGGGGAGGATGAGGTGTGACACCAGGCACCGAGTGCCAACCTCTGCCCTTTCCCCAGCTTCACTCCAGGCTTTTATTTTGTTCATTTACCCAGCAAATATCTTGCCCACTTCAGCAGCTACAAGGCTGCAGAGAGGCAGCCAGTCTTTGCTCTCCCTGATGGGGCACACAACACGAAGGCAGCATACCTGAACTTCCCCGTGTTGGGGTCCAACTCACCTCTGTCAGGCCAGATACTTTTATTTCCTGCTAAATGTTTCACCTCTGCCTGAAAGGAGCCAGATTCCATTGCTACCACTGCAGGGTTTCACTGCTCTCAGATGCAGCCAGAACTGCTCCATGCAGAGAAAGCTCTGCACCAACCACTGCCGTCTTGCTGGGCTTAAAATGCTCGAACTAAAAATATATCTGACAACAGCAGTGCGTTTGGGGGAAACGGTTGCACAAGACAGGACAAAGCAGCACTGGAATAACCTCAAATTCCTCCAGAGCACAGCTGGGACCCTCTGTCCAGAGTCATCCTCTCAGAGCAACTTCTATTAGAAACCAGAGTTAGCAATTCCCAGCCTCTTTCCCCTGCCCCCCTCCTTAATCCAAATGCATAAAGGGCTCTTGAGTCCATGTTTTACCTAGGAGTGAATCTGTCTTCTGCAGAAACTATCACTTCTACCTTCACGCACCTTTTTCCTACAGACATCTAATCTTGACACTAAATACCAGGCCCAGGAAAATCCTTTTTCTAAATATTGTTTGCTCATGAAAAAAAAAAAAAAAAACAAACCTGGAAGAGATCAACCTCCCACACTTGTCCTGCTTCAATGGCTTGGCAACTCAAAGCTTGTCGCCCAGGTTTTCCCCACGACCTGGTCCAGGGGTCCTTGTGCAAGCAGCCTTTCCAGGTTCCTTGCACACAACATGCTCCATGGGACCTACTGCAGGTGGCCTCACGTA